GGGCGAAGCTCATCACCTTAGTTGTGATTTGAGCACTCTCGCATGGCAACATGCCTGCACTTGGTCCCACAAGTGTAGCGCCCAGGCAATGGTTTATTCCAGAGCTTGGCCCAGTGTCTGCACTGCACTGACGAGACCCACATAGGTCGAAACAGTGTGCACCCTGTCTGCAGTTATATATATATATATATATAAACTATGAGGATAATTGATTTGAAATCTTGGAATGAAAGGGTTTTAAGGTGTAATTTCGAGTTCTGGAAAATTCAGTGCAAGTCCTGGAAAAGTCCCTCAAATTCGTTTCTGAAAAAGGGTAGGAATTGTGGCTGCTTATGGAAAAAAGTTGAGTTATTGAAACCCCTGCATCTGACTTGTTAAGAATCCAAGTAAGTGAAGATACGATTCTGACAGATGAACTGCAATAAAGGAATTTTTTAGGAAAGGGTTTGAACTTGTGCCTCTCAAATTCTCATAGGGAGCTTCTACTTACCATGATTGTTTATCCACTGCCTCCCGGTTAGCTCAATTGGTTAGAGCGTGGGATTGTGTTGTGCGGGAGGTCGAGGGTTCGAGCCCCGGCCGGACCAATACTCGTGGTCTTAAAATAAGTGAGGAGAATTTGCTACCTTTCTATAATATCAAGAAATGGATAGATATTCTAGTCTTCTTGGATAAGGAGAAATAAACTGTAGGCCCCATCTCTTGCAGGGTTAGGGGTAGGAGATGTTAATTTCCCACACACAAGATTACTGTGTGGTGGATGTCCTCCCCCAGGTGGGATGGGTGGGTGTTGGCCCTAAAAAGCCCCTCTATGGGGAGTGGTCAATTAACCTATGTATGTATGTATGTATGTATGTATGTATGCATGCATGCATGCATGCATGCATGCATGCATGCATACATGTTGCTTAAGAAAGATCTGTTCCTCATGTGAATGCTAATATTATTAGAACATTATTTTCATTTAAGGAAACATTCATTTGCAGGCTATCAAGAACAATGCCAGCTTCAGAGTTTGGATACTTTTCTTTCTGGTGATGTGTTCACTATCCTTGCTCTTTCTTGACTGGTACAGCTAAATGGGGAAAAGTGCTTTGAAGTAAAGTCAATTTTAATTGGATCTTATACAAAGAAAAAAAATTGAATTTCATTCTGCCCAGAGCTGTGATGGATAAAACATCACTTCTTTTTTTCAACCTAGAACAGAAAAGTAACTTTCAGAGTTAGAATTTCAAAAAGCATTTAATAACAGAATGGTGGTAATGGTGCTTTTAAACCAGAATGATTTCCATTGCAGTAAAATAAATTAATTTTTTACCATTTTGTGTCATGATGTTCTTTCTTACATTCATCTTATTGTGCGTAGAAAATTTGAAGTAAGTCTGTTTAGGATCAAAATGAAGTGGTCAAATGTTACAGACTTGTAATTAATGATGGTTGGTTGCACAGTTTCTAAGTGTTTTTTAATTGGTTATCACTAATTAAATGTTCAATTGGTGCTAAACAATCTATGTCTGAGTGACAACTTCCATATTTCATCAAATAAGCAGCCACTCTTAATAAGTGCCCTTCCCCAGAAAAAGCACCCACCACCTAAGTCATATTGTCAAACAAGTGCCCCCCACCCTCACTTTCCTAATAGTAGGGATACAAGGAAAACCTGTTTCTCTAACCACTTTATTTACAACTTTTTAAGCTTGAATTACAGTGGAATCAGAACAGGAGAATTCCAGTTCTTTCTATCTCCATGTGCTTGCATAGTTCCTTTGTGTGGGTTATCTGTACTTTTAATTTGTCCTATTGCTATGCAAGAGAAGATTCACCCCCCCTTGATAATAGCACCTTACTTCCATTAAGCACTCCTCCATTTAGTCAGTATTTTGAATGAACAATCGTGTGTTATTCAAGGAAATATAGTAGATATGAACTGGGTTTTTCAAACTACTCATAGATTATGATTACTTCAGTACTATTGTTATATATCTCAGGCAGTAAATATTCATCATTAAAAAAAATTTATCATAAAGATCTATACTGTTTATAAATTAGAAGGGTTAAATAATTTTGAAATTATATTGGGCAGACCACTTTATCACTGTTAAATTAAATGTGGTTAAGCTCAAGATTAGGTAAAGCCTGTTTACCAGCCAAGTGGCCTATTGGACTGGTGCTTAAATGCAGCATCAGTGGCACAAAGCAACTATAATAATAATAATAATAATAATAATAGTAGTTTATTCACAATTAATCACACACAGAAAGCAAACAAAAACTAACAAACAATACATTAACACAAAAAATTCATGAAAAATTGTGAATGGAGGTAGAAAAGGTTATCCCTTTCTAGTCCACCTCCTTAACATAATTTTATATAGCAATATTAAAAAATCCTAATTCCTTATCTATAAATTCAAAAACTATACATACAAGTAGGTATACTTATATAATAAAAGTTTAAAATGGTAATTAGTTTAAATCGTGTTTTAAGAAAATTCATTAACTAGCTTATTTCTAAAAGTTCTTAAGTCTTGCTTCAGCGGTCTCTTTTCTTAAATTGCTCCATAAATTAACAATGCGAAGGAAGAAAGAAAGAGTGTTTATAGCAATTTAACTTAGCAGATTTCGTCTTAAGCTTGAAGCGATGGTTGGATCTCAGCGGTCTGTATTTGTCCGCAAAGCTAAGGAATTCGTATGGATTCAGACAATTCAGTCCATTTATTGTCTTGTAGCATTCAGTGAGTGATGATAAAGTTCTCCTTTCTTCTAATGATAGCCATTTAAGTCATTTCAATCGATCTTCATACAACACATTATTTGCAGTTATAACTAGGAGTATTTCTACTCCCTACTGGATGGAATGCAAGTCCATCACAAAGTTACCCCCAGCATTAAATTTGCCTGTACCCAAGAACACAACAATGCGCCCCTGGCCAGGGCTTGAACCCAGACCACTTGATCTGGAGTCAAGCATACTGATCATGAGGCCACCATGCCTCCCTGACTTAAGATTAGGACCAACAGAAATAAAGTGGTTTATCAATCCCTTGGATATAAATAATAAATTCACTTTGACACAAAGTTCAAAAGTGCATTGGTTTTACTGCCATGTCAAAAAAACTTGCATTCCCCACCAAACAGTGACAAAAGATATGTGGTCACCTTTAGAAAAATATTTTTCTCCAACTAGATTAGAAACATTTCTGATAATCACTATTTTTTTTTTTTTTTTAGATTATAGCACAAACATTTAATTTTTAAGTTTAAAATAAATTTAAAAAATTATTAATTCTCAAAAAAATACTAGTACAAGAATAGGTTATTATTTCTGAAAAATAATTCTGTAAAGTAGAAAATATTCCATTGAGCCAGTATTCAGGCATGTCCTTTCAATTTTTTCCACACCATTTGGAGCTTTGAATCTTAATGTTATTAACCTTAAAAAACTTCTGTCAACAGAGGTTATCAAATCTAATTCTAGGTTACACACCTGCATATGATAATGAAAACTAAAGCACTATGCTGAAAACCTCTTTATAACTATGTGTTGTAGTTAGTGTTGAAGGAACTCTTAAAAAATAAAGTTGAGAGGCTGGCATTATCTATTCAAGAAGCCAGGTGTCATTTCGCACATGTCTCATCTGCATTATTTTCATGGCACAGATCTCATCTGCATTTTTTATTACACCATGAAGATTTTACCTAGTACATCAGTAAACTACACCTGTCCATTTGTTTCATTCAGTAAGGGTATGGTAAAAAAAAAGTAATGCATTTAAACACACCAGGCACAATGGAGCTGACTTGAAGACCTATATATAGTGTCTTAGCTGTCCATTAAAACCACTTTGGATGATGCAACATACAAACTTATTACTAAGAATTAATTCATTAATAAAACTTAAGAATTCATTAATTAATAAAACTGGGTAAATCCAGGTGCGCAATATCAAAGTCATCTGACTTTGCAACAAAGTGGTTTGAAATCTGAAACGTTTATCCTAAATTTAATTACACATAAGAACTACAGTTGCTGATAGCCCTTCTTCATATTTACATCAGAAAAGTTAATTTCAACTACAGTGGCCCATTTCTCAAAAGTCCCAGTAACTTAATGGGCCTGAAGCCATGTTTAAAAATCAAAATTCAAAGAAAAGAAAAATAGGTTCTGGTCCCCAAACTAGTACATTTTGTTTCTTTGACTGATAGTTTTACAGTATTATTTTCAAAACTTTTGAAATCCCCATCTTCAATGGAAACAGAACAGCTTTATTGGCTCATTAAGTTACCAGGGGCTTGTTTCTAGAAAGTCCCGGTAACTTAACACACACGAAACCATATTTCAAAATCACAATTTACACAACAGAGAAGCAGGTCCATTTTGTTTCTTTAGCTGATAGGTTTTTGGTATTGTTTTGAATTCAAAACCTTGAAACTTCACCTGGAGTGAATATTAGAATAGCTTTGGGGGCCATTGAAAAAATGGGCCCCTGGACTTTTAAGAAACAGGCCCCAGGTCTCCTTTTTAAAGTGTGGTCTGGTAAATTTAATGAGAAAGTGTTCCCAAAACATCAAAAGATAATTCATGTGAAAACAACAAGATAGCCAAAGAGTAGATACACTGCCAATGTATAAACCTGGCTTTGGGGTACATTATTAACAAATGACATAAAATAATCATGCAAGAATGTTATTAATAATATCTGGGAGAGCCTCTTCCTTAGTATTCTATCAAAAGTAGGGAAAGAAAAAAATCTACCCATTCAAGTGCACCTGATTGCCATACAGATGGCATAGGTGTCCAATTTAAGACATTCAAAATAAAAGTTGAAATTTAGAATTGGACACTTGAATCAGGATCACCCGACACAAATTAATAGCCAGGATGATTTAATCTATACTGAACATAATGTACATGTATGATAATCTTAATCATTACACGACTCGGGCAGTCAGAGGGCCAATAACTAAAATCAACCAATCAAAATGCTCTATTGCTGATCAATATTCTCTAAGTATTGGACCGGGCATTGTCCCCCGCATGATACCGCACTTGTGTCCCTTTGAACTTCAGTCGTATAATAAATATCTCTTATTAACCAAGCTTGCTCAGGACCACACTGGAAGAATATCAGCCCTTGGTCTTTTTTGTATGGACCTCACTGCGCTCGGTCTGTACTGTCAAAGACCTCGGGCCGATATTCTCCCAGTACGGCCCTCACGCTTGGTTAATAAGATATATTTATTAAGCCGGATCATCATAATCATTTTTAGCATAAAGCAAATACAGATGTATCCATCACTAAATGTGACAGCTGTCAGATTATGTCAACAACAAATGGAGCACTAATACTCCTAAATAAAACAAATACTGGTAATATATGCTAATAGATGACTAAACTTGAAGAATCATCCTGTAAAGTTTTAAAGATGTACGAAAATAGTTTGGAATGGAGAGCATTAGGAAAGAAAGTTCCTAATAGATGTCACATTACTCTGTATGTACATGAATATTCTCTCTAGAGTTTCTGTGATCATTACATTATCTCTAACACCGACAGGTAACATAGTAGTACCTCCAATACCACTGAACTTGATTTAAAATCTTTCCACAAAGATGCCAAGAGGGAAAAAAAACATGTATTTTTGGTCAAATTTAAAAACCAAATCATGATGCATTATCACTTTTATGCTAATATTTGTTTTTTTCCCCCTTAAGAACAGATGTTATTGTAACAATAATTGCTGTCATAAAATGTATGAAAACAATCCCAGCAGTTATGAACCCTACTTACGTAGTAGTAGAAATAAGACCTGAAAAAAACACAGGTCTGTACGGGATTTGAACCCATCACCAGGGTTCGACATCTCCGCTAGCCCGAGGCTACTAAAAATTTTGTCGGGATAGCAAAAAACCATGTTTAATAGCCTGCTGGCTAGTAGAAAAATTGAAAGAAATTATGTATAATTAGCTTACTTGAAGTTCACAGTTGATTAAAAAACTAGAAAGTTTAAATTGTAATGATAATACCAATGAAGAAGGCATAACCCGTTCATCTTCTGGCATCTTTTTTTGTCTTGCATGTCGATCATAAGCATCCCTAAATCCAAGACTCTACCCTTAATGGTCAATGTCTTCCCTAGTCTTCTCCCTAACAATGTTGCAATACCTTGCACATCGCCAAACGCGATCGCTTTGCACTTGAAGCGATTGTACCATTCTTTATCATTTTAAAAGACCAATAAGTTTAGAGGAAGATTTGCATATCTGGGGTTGAAGTAGACCTCGAAGGAAATTGATCCAGGCTAGCTAACAAGTTGTGTTTGGGCCAGCAAATTTTAGAAATCGCTAGCCCGGTGGCTAGTAATGCAGGTGTAGATAGGTGTCGAACCCAGCCCATGACCTCTGTGATACCTGTGCTGTGCTCTTTAAACCCGTTGAAGTGATAACAATGAATTTGACTATGTGTAACTCATATATGTGTACTGTGGTTTCATGAAATATATGAAAGCAATCCTCACAGTAATGAACCCTACTTATGCAGTAGACTAAGTGGAGATAAGGCCTGAAAAAATTATTATTTCCTTTACTACATAAGTACGTAGGGTTCATTACTGCGAGGATCACTTTCATTTATTTCATGTACACATATATGATTTTCATACATTCAAATTCATAACTGCTGTCATAATTTATCAACAATGATCAATAATTTAGACAATTTGTTTTACCTCTGGTAATTATTTTCAAAGGCACAGCTGATAAAAATTTAAGCCACTTACCAACTCAAATCTCTTTCACAATTAACTATGAAATATAGGAGTACATAAAGGTGAATTATAATAATCCATTATTCAAAATGCTTTAAAATGTACATGAAGGGGTGCTTGGATAAATAGCCTGAGTGTGTGACTTCTGATATAATGTTACATTCTCTTTTCAAATTCTCTCCCATTTCCTTAGGAAAAGAAGGGAGAAGTTAATGCTGAATCAAACATCATCAAGACCTTTTTCATAAACTCACATGCCCTCAAAAAGCAATCTTCAGAATTCTTTACACAGCTCATTTAAAATCCTTTGAGCCATCTGAAATTCAACCAAGGCCCAGCCATGACATCCAGATGTCAAAAAGGGTGCCATTAGGTCTTCTGTGAACGCCAGTTGGGGCCACATGGCAGCTACTTCCCAAGGTTCCATCTGGAGCATCATCAGGACTAGTAGTGGCAAAAGATCCTCCGCATTCACAGCTGCAGTAAAGGTATCTTGTCCACTCTGCATCCGTAGCTCTTGAACAGCATTTGTGATTTTACGAAGGGATGAAGTCAGGCATTTCAGTTTGTTTAATGGACTTGTAACCTTGAAAATATCTTTGATATTTTGAAGTGCAGGACCAAAGTGGTCCTCAAAAGTTTCTCCAGAAACCGAACTGTCCTTTTTGCCAAGATCACTTTCACTTTTGGAAAGTGTCCTATTCAAAGGTGTCTTCATCTGCAGGCTTTCATCAACACAGTCATAACTTTGCTCACACTGCGCTGTCTTCCATAAACTAATGATTTGAACCATTGTAGGGGCACTACAACTAATAGCATCCTGAACAGAATTCCTGGACTTTGGAGGCCCTGCATTAGACTGGTCACGAGGTTTATCAACATCATCCACAGCTATGGTTTTTGAGCGATGACGAATGGCACTGATGAATAAGCTTCTGAATGATTCCATATCTTCTATGTGCCTGCTATTGTGAGCTTCTGCCACATTATCTACCAAGTCATCCAATTCATCAATCATGTCATAAGAACCACTCAGACCATGGTCTGTCTGGTCCATAAGTGTGCCATTCATGAATGCTTCTGTAAATGGACTATAATTTCCCGAGTTTATACTTGACTGAAGTGAGCGTTGCTCAAATAGCTCCAACCACCACTCATCTTTCATTTGCAAATTCAAGAACTTTATCGGGAGGAATCTGAGCCTTTGCACATCCTCTCGCAGCTTGTCCACATGTTCACGATAAGCCAATTCATAGACACAGGCCAAAAAGTTGTGCTCTTTATCATAAAAACACTGCTCATAGCAAAGCCTTATTTTGTTCTTAAAATGCATGTCCTTGTTGTTAAAGAACTCAGACAAGAATTCTGTTGCAGTTTCTAACTCCTTCTTAATTATGGATTGTAACATTTGGAGTTTATACTTATGATTCTCCATCACAAAATCTTCTAGGCCATATGATTCATACTCAGTCAGAGCTGCACATGCCTGGCCAAATGGTGAACATGAAGGGGTAAATTCTTCAGAGCTGCTAAATCTTCCAGTGGTAAGCAGCTCATTACAGAGTGTTTGGATCCTTTGGCAAAACATTTGGAAGTGATTTCCAACTGGATGCTCCTCATTGTTCACCAGAGTAGCAATTCTTTCACCCAGTCTTTGCCATTCTGGCTTCCATACTCCTTCAAGGACTACCAAAAAAAAAAAAAAAAAAAAAACAGAGAAATGTATTATCAATCAGGGGAGAACATCTAATCTAACTTATGTACTCTATAACAGTGTAGTGTTCGTATTACAACGGTTTACACTGTAAAACAAACTGTTGTCAGTAGAGGGTATGCTTCAAAGCTCCCATATCTTACCATCTGTTGCTCGAGATCCTAAAGCATTTGCATCATTTGCATCAGTGTAGCCTTTGTCAATAAGCTCTTTCATAGCAGAATCCAACATTTCTCTTACACTCAGTGCACAATTCTTTGGACACAATGTGGAAAAAAAATTCAAATATCATGATTTTTCATCATCAAAAGAGTGGGATGTATATGTTGTAGTTCAATTTGATCCTTGGTTCAAATTTTATTTTCCTTTGTTTCAAACGCATTATCATACATTAACATGACCAAGAACAAAGGAAAATAAAATTTGAACCAAGTATAAAATTGAACTACAACACATACAGTCTGCACAATCATGCACATGATAGATCAAATGGGTGGTAAGGGAGAGGATCGAAGCAGAACAGTTAGCAGGAAAGAAACTGTTAGTGTTACAAATTTTCTAATGTATTAAGTAATAGTCTGAGAGAGGGAAACTATGCAGCGAAGTTTATATTTTAAGTGAGTCCAATAACAAAGAACACAAGTTAACACGTACTTAATTGACATGTGGAGTTTTTCATGTCACTAAAAAAGTGCATTTTTGCACTGAATTATTTTTTTGGGATGTTTTCCTGTGGGTCTCACTTTAACATAATTATGAGGAGACTCTGAAAAATCTGTGAAAATTAAAACCCACAAAAGTTTTAATTCTTTATGAAAGAAACTTACAGCTTATTATATTTATACAGTCATACATATGTGGAATACAATTAGTCTGGGGTGCCGTCAATTACTGCCATAGACTTCCAGAACAGCTAGCTTAGTGCAATTGGAAGGCTTTACTATGCCACTGTTGAGGATATGATAGACCTTCAAAGGTTGATTTTGTCTCATGTCAAACTATGCATTACAGAATTATTTGAACTAACGTTTACAAGAGAAAGTTTGGTACAAAATTGAAACACAAACAAGTTGTTTGCAAGAACATACTTTGGAACTGAATTCTTCAGACCACCAGATCATAACATGTCACCACAAATGACTTGAAGTGTTTTTTTTTTTTTTTTTGCAATTAAACATCATTTTCCTTTAATTCAATGCATAAACATCTCCTGATTTCAGTTGCATGTTGTGATCCTAGCTATCTGTCTGTGTTTAACACTAGACTGTGGGTAAAGATAGAATTAAGAAGAGTTCTGGGCATGGAAAGGCAAAAGAATCTCAGCAAAAAGGATGAGAGCTTTTGGATAAAGCAATCTTCCTTGCTTGCACTTGACAAGCAACCACTATTGAGTTCTGCTTAAGCTGTTTTCAAGTTGAAAAAATAGACTTGAAATTGAAATTGCCAGCCAGCAGAGTTAAAATAAGGTTTGTCAGGGGGTAATAGCTACCCACAAAATGTTTTTTCTGAGAATATTGAGACTGTACAAGAGGCCTCTACATTGCTACTGTGGGTTGGAACTTTGAAGTTTCCAGGGTTGACATGACTTGGTATGTGGTCATCCAAAGGCATGAATTTGTTGGCAAAATTTTGAAACAAAAAAACCTATCTAAAATTTAGGAAAATGTGTCTTCTTTGAACAAATTAATAGGGTACACGTATGTAAACTTTGCAGATTTCCTTGAAACCAACCTAGGAAATAGTGTGGGGGACTTCAAAATACATCTCCCACAATGGCCTCTGTACTTATACAAGTTTGATAAGCAAACTTGACACAGATAAATTGTAAAGCAACCAATAAGAATATTGAAAATGCCTACACAGTTTTGAAGACCAACTCCCAAGGATTTGAAAATATGCAAAAGTTTTATTTGTGCTGTCAGATTTGAAACCTGCTTAACCCTTTCATTCCCATGATCTCATTATTAATAATCCTTACTGTCTGGCATACAATTCTTCTGAGTGATGTTAGTTTGGAGAATTTAGTATTGGATAACTTATTTTAATCCCTCATTTGATATATTTCTTATTTTTCATCACTTACCTGGTTGATATCGTATTGATATTGTAAGGAGACATTCTGTCTTTGCCACTTGTGAGAGTTGGGTTAATTTGCTCAAAGAAACATGGTCTATTTTGACTTGTTATACTTCAAAGAATGCATTTTAACAATTGTCTTTTTCTAAATGACACCCACAGAGGTCTACCATATCTTTAAAGCCATTTACATTTAACATGTTTACCTTCTGTTCTAGAAGCCTGTTGCGGCTTTGTTTGAGACTAGCAAGTGTCTTCCTTTGATCCAAGTACTGTTTTAGTAAGTGATGTCCTGCAATGACTCCTCCATCATTTTGAGCCTATAATTAGATTAAAGTTCGATCAATGGTAATTCAATTAATTACAACCACACATTCAACTGATTTACTAAGTTGTTTACATAAATTTACACCTTAACATCAGTATATATAATTTATTCTCCTTGCTTTCCTCAAGCTCTGTACATTTCCTAAGGTGCTGACAAGGAGACTTTGTATAACAATAAAGAGCTTCTTCAGTTGGTATTAATTTCCTTTATTACACAACTTGGGCAGTCAGAGGGCCAATAACTAAAATCAACCAATCAAAATGCTTTATTGCCAGTCAATATTCTTTAAGTATTGGACCGGGCCCTGTCCCGAATGGTCCTGAATGATACCGTACTTGTATCCCTTTGAACTTCAGTGGTATAATATATCTCTTATTAACCAAGCTTGCTCGGGACCGTACTGGAAGAATATCGGCCCTCCGTCTTTTTTGTATGAACCTCGCTGCGCTTCGTACTGCCAAGACCGAGGGCGGATATTCTCCCAGTACGGCCCTCACACTTGGTTAATAAAGCATATTTATTCTCTTGACCTTACTGTGAGATTGGAGGTGATATTGTAAGGATAAATATTATTATGTTAGAATCTACTTGATACAGGTTTCACTGTATGCAGGGAGCTCTGGGAACAAATAGGGCCACGACAATGTGAAGTATCTGTGAACATGAAGCCATGGGTTACACTGAAATTTGCAATAAATAGACAAAAAGTTAGCCCAAAACTGGGTAGTTACACAGCTCATCAAGCAATAAGAGAAAATAGACCCCCAGAGTATACCTGACGAGTAACACTAACAATAAGTTCTCTTGTCAAAAGCAGGGCTTCAAGCTTTTCTTGTTCTCTGTCTCTCTGTTGTCTAGCTGTCTTAAGCTGTTCAGTAGATGCTGCACATGGTTTCATACTTTTAGCATGCTGCACTTGATCTTGAGCCTTGTCAATCTGCAAAATAAATGTAAGTTTAGATTCAAGACAAAACACCTTGTACTGTTGTAAAGCCTGGCCCCAGTTCTTTTAGAAATGCATGTAGCACTATAGTATATAGAGCTATTGAAAAGGCTTAGTAGATACAATCTAAAAAGGAAAAAAAAATGGAATAGAAAACAGAAATGAAAGTGGAGTGCAGCACAATCCAAAAGTCTGATGTTCTGTTCCACAGGAGAGACTGAGACCTTTTTTTGGCCCATGCTCAGGAAATCTTTCTCGAAGTTCAGAAATCAAAGTTGTTCAAAATATTTCAATCAAAGGAGAAATTCAAACCACAGAATAATTATATCAACACACCAGCTGCCGCAGTCTTGGTTCTTCTTTGCTGACGTCCTCAAGGAGCACTTCAAGAAACTCTTTGGAGCACCATCCTCTGTGTATAAACTTTTCTAGGTCTGGTAGAAACTGAGTACGTAGATCTTCCATGTTTAGCTCACAAGCATCAATGTGTTTGCATTTCTCAATGACCTTCCTATCTAGTTCCTGGATGCTTAGAGCCTGCTTCTCTCTGGCATTCATGACTTTATCTAAGTCATCTTGGTGTAAGGTTATCTTAGGCAGGATGTAGCAGTGAAGCATTCGTAAAAGGCATTGTTCATAATCTTCATCTGAGGGCTGCGAGACTCCATTCTACAATAAAATCAACAGCAGACCTTGAATAAACAATTCTGACATGCGAGCCTTAAAACATAGATTTGTTGTAAAATAAACAATATCATGTATTCCAAGATATATCAATATAGGCAGATCACAGGATGGAATTACAAGAGAAAAAGAAAGGTCATATCAAATTAATTCACTCTGTACAAACTCAATACATAGTAAACCAGTAAACCCTTACAACAAGGTAAGTCAGCTGCCAAATACAAGTAAAATATTGCTAAGTATCAGTAAAACAGATACTGTATACAAAAATCACCTTGAAGACTAGCAGGAAAATCACTTTCACTGCCCTACAAAATATTACCATAATCTATCGGGACTATTGTCATCCTTGATTAAAAGACTGCAGCTCTTTTGTTCATTTCCTCTTGTTTGCAAAAGAAGTGATAAAGGAGCTTGATCACTTTAGCATAAATTATGGTCCAATGTGACAGCTATTTTGAGTTATGCTTATCACTCCACAGGGTTCATACACTTTTTCAGGCCAAAGATTCAAGGACTTTTCAAGGACATTCCAGGACCCTACTTAGAAATTTCAAGGACTTTTTGTAATGACAATTTTACCTCAAAACCAAGAAAAAGGTTTATGTTAACTTCTATGTTGTGGGTTTACCGATGGTGTGAAACAAAAGCAGATATTTTTCTATGTAGTTCAATAAAAAATCAAGGACTTTCAAGGACCCAAAACGAAATTCAAGTACTTTCAAGGCCTTGAAATCGGCCTCCTGAAATTCAAGGGTTTTCAAGGGTTTTCAAGACACGTACAAACCCTGACTCCAGGTACTCAGAATCACCAAAAAACTCTACAATTTAAGTGTAGGTCTACAGCAAACAGTGTGTGCATTTGTTTGAGACTAAGAAGCAGACAGAGAATGTTAGACAGCACATTCTTACTTTCAATGACCCCTTTTTCTTTCAATCTCAATATTCACTTTGGTTAACTTTGCCCATGCCCTTTAAAAGCTTTGGTACCATTTGTATACACTGTAGGTAATCACATGATTTTGAGTGCAATATGGGATAAATAATTTATGCGCAAGAAAATTTTTCAAGGGCTAACAAAATTGCACAAGCAGGACTTGTAGGGCCTGTGCAAGTGGTACAGGTAGAGAGCAGTAATCTTCCCTCTCTTTTGTACAAACTGTCGCACAAAACTTCTCTAGAGTTTTATTCAGGGCCTCTGGCTTGGTTCTTACTTTCATAGCTCCACTTCTAGACTTTGAACCAGCTGTTTGTGTTTTGTTGGGCTTTAGCATTTAGCATCATTTGTTTGTTTTGAGCATTCTCCCTTAAACTCTGAATTAAAATACCATAACTTTCTCCTCCACTTTGTTATACTTTTGTGACTTACTCAATCAATTTCATTTCAACTTTCTGCACTCAATTTCAACTTGTTTGCACTATTTGGGATTAATTGATATGTCTTTGGCCAATGAGCATGCTCAAGTTTTTGCGTGTTATTGGTGACTGAATGCAAGAAAAGATAAAGACAAAATTTAGCCTCAGCACAGTCAAAATTTAAAATCAAAGAAATTTTTGAACCACAACATGTAGACTATTAATACCAACTTCACCACAATTTTTTTGTTCACTTAACAACTAAAAACAAGGGGAGTGATGAGCTAAGAAATTCATAACAAAGTAAAATGATTACTCAGTGATCTTTTAGTTAAACTTCTCAAGTGTTTTACAAAATATCAAATAGGATTGATGCCTGGTGGGAATAACACTGTTTAAGTCAGATATTAGTAAAAAAAGACAAGAAAATTGGAAGGGAGATAACATCAAAATCCCTTTCATTAAAATTTCAGGCATGGCTTGCATGAGGTTGCAATATATCTTATAGCAAGGTTACTCCATGTCATTGTACCTCTTCATGATCAGCTGGGTAAATGACTTTTGTAGCCAACGTAAAGAGTTCATCTATGTCTGCATCATAATCATAACACTCTCCTTCCATGCAAAATTTCCTATGACTTGGCAAGTCTGCATCTAAAGGAAAGAAATAGAATAAAGCCAAAATTTTTTTTGTTTAGTCTAAATAGGTTATATGTTCACTAAAGGGGCAGGGCTCAACACCAACTTTTCAACTTACTAGCCAAGTAGCTAGTGACATCTTAAATTTTACGACAATTTCAGTTTGTTTACTAGCCAGACTGGCTAGTGGAAACCGAAAACCACTAGCCAAAACTGGATTTTTACTAGTCTGTGGCTAGTTGGCTACTGTTAGTGTCGAGTCTTGAGGGGGTGGTGAATCTGGCTTTTTAAAGCATTGTTTCAACAAATTTTGAATCACTTTGATTTCAAAGCCTTGAAAAGCATGGTTTTTCCACATCAAGTGATAGCTGTGGATTGAAATGACTGGTAAAATTGGCTGGGGAGGACAAAGAGTAACCAGACAAATTACAAATCAGGCTGGGAATTGTCTGATGGCTGCTCACTATTTCAAGCTCTGAATAAATACTGATCAAGGACAAAGATGCTGTGGGAAAGGGACAAATATTTGAGTTGCCCAAAACATACTACAGAAATAATGAATGAATCAAACTTTGAAACCTCTGAACCCAAACATAAAGTGGTTTGGTGAGCTACTGGCTCCTATTGATGGCTCTAGCAACAACACTCAGGCATGGGGCTATTAGTGATGTATCTGGTCACTTAATAACAAAGAAGAGGGAGTTTCACTTAGTATGTGCCTAACTTGTCGCATACACAGAATTAATAATAGCACCTTTTTTTAAAAAAGAAAAGACCACTAACCTTCGGGGTGATTTCCAGTTGACCAGCTGACTATCTTTCTTCCACAGTCAACTGATACTGACTCTAGCACAAGAACCTTGAACCAAATGGCAGGCTCCAGTCTTGACACATCTGCACATGATTTCTTTTTCATGGCTCCATTGCCAATACAGGGGCAAAAACCCTCTTGAAGATGGACATTGGTTACCAAACGCCTCTGATTTCCTTCTTTGAGATATACGTGCATTCTCGTTAGGGACTTTGTGACGGCCTGTAGAAGGAAGTGTTGGCTATAGTAATTAGTCTTTGATTTTTTAATGCTTCTTGTTACAACTGTAAACTCTTCATTGGCACGTAGAAGGAAATTTTGGCTATATATAGTCTAGTATTTGATTTTCTAAAGCTTCCTGTTTAAGTTGTTAACTCGATCTTCATTAATTTTGCAAAGTGTTAGAGATATCTTTTCACTCTATATTTTTTAACGGTATTCAAGACTTACGTTTTATGTCCGACATAACGAAGAAAGCAATTGTGAAAGTGTCCGCATTATTTATTTGAAATTTTGTAGCTCCCGTCCTTCAACAATTTTGTTACGGGCAGCGCAGGCCACAAAATCAGTAATTAGGACTATCCGCGCCCGTTTAGTTTCCTTTTAAAGCACTGTGTTATCTAAGTGCAGCTGTTTTTAGTTAATTTCAAAGTGACCTCACCTATTTTGGCAACTTCCAAATTTTGCTGTAGGAGCGCCGATGTGATTCCTGATCATGACGCCCAGTTGCCTTCAGCATATTTGGTCGTCCAAATAATTGATCTCTGAGTTTCACTAACGGGTATCCGGAATAGAATCAATACATTCCCAGAAAACAGTGGAACTAGATGTACTCAACTCAACGGCCAAAAATGGGAATTAAAAATTCAAACGTAAAAATTAATGGTCTACTTTCGACAAATTATGACTTTCCAATTCTGACGGAAGTTTCATCGCGCAATAAGCAATTGAGCAAACAATATTCGTAGCAGGGAGTTATGGGATAGGGTGACCTCATTGCAAGCTCATAACTCATGGCGCATGTCTATCTTTTCCCGCCAAAAAATTTTGTTGTGTTTTGATGACCATGTTTTCGTATAATTTCCTTTAAAATTTTTCGTTTTGAAAGGTTCTTTAGAATCTCAATTGATTTCTTGATACAAAATTTCGTAGACAAGCATAATGATAGAGAAATGAACTCGGTTTAACTATTCTGTACCGTAAAATTATAGTTGAGCTATACGAATTCGATGGAATCCAAGATGGCGGACTGAGAAAACTGACACATAAAAGTTGTCAATTTCATGTGCTGATCAGGAAACCGAAAAATGGCGAGCGATGATGAAAATACCCTTAGGTTTATAAGTGTTGATGAATCGAAGGAAGAAAACCTTTTGCGAGCCTCGGAAGCTAGCAAGGAGTACGATTTGAACAGCGAATGGATTTCTGCGAGCGATTTGGAAAATATTGATTTGGAGACACAACGATCGGTCTACGTTTTGGAGAATTTTGAAGGAGAAAGTTTCGAGTACTTGAAGAAAAGTAAATGCAGGATTGTTGGTCCACAGTGTATATTATCTTGTTTACAAACACAGACCCCGCTGCCAAATGTCCAATATCCAGTTTATGGTGTAGCCATGCTTGGCACTGCTATCAGTTGTACCAGTGTACCTCGGCAAGAGAGAGATAGGCTTTACGATCTTATCCACCTGATGGGAGGAATTGTTATGAAAGATTTCACCAGCGCAGTAACTCACTTGGTTGCGGGTGAAGTGGGGTCTAAGAAATACAAGGTAGCATGTAGTTTCAACAAACCCATTTTATTACCACAGTGGGTTTACAAATGCTGGGAGCTCAGTCAGGACAAACATGTATGTGCCACAGATGAACAATTCATGGAATTCAAATGCCCAACATTCAAGGGAATAACTCTTTGTGTGACAGGTATTGATGCAGAAAAAAGGAAAGAAATTAAGAAACTTGTAACACAACATGGTGGAACATACTCTGGTGCACTTGATATGAACACATGTACTCATTTACTTGTCGATGAGCCAAGGGGTGAAAAATATGAGTATGCAAGGAGGTGGAATCTTCACTGTGTTTGTACACAATGGTTTTATGACTCAGTTCAGACAGGCTTGTGTCAGGATGAGTCAAGCTATTATACTCAGCCTAATGAAGAAAATAACAGTTCACAAGCAGGTGCAAGATTTTCTGGTTTAATTAAAGGCAATACTTCTAAAAGTAGTACAGAGAAGAAGATTTCAAATAAGGCTGCACAAGCAGCATACAAGAGTGCGCAGAAACACGGCAACAAAGATTTGATCTCTGGTTGTGGAAGATACAGTAGACTATCTAATCAGTCTAAGACTGATGTTTCCAGGATAGGAGAGACTCATATTTCAGATCCAGATGGCTCTGATTTTGATGTCAGAATTCAGCCTGGGAATATGTTTCTGGATGGTTGTAAAATTTATTTAAGTGGATTTTCTGGGCAAAACTTGGAGAAGCTTAGAAAGATCATCAACTCTGGAGGAGGGACAAGATTCAATCAAATCAATGAGATTGTTTCTCATGTTATTGTTGGCAATAGAATTGATGCAGATATTGATCTGTTAAGAAACTGCGATTTTCAAGTGTTTATTGTTAGTGTTCAATGGATTTTGGATTCTGCAAGGGAAGGGAAAAAGCTATCAGAAGAAAGTAAGTGTGTTTCACCTTGCCACTCACTTTCCAATTTTATCAATTCTCCTTGCCGTTAACTATACATTTCTTACAATTTTAGACCAGGGCCCAGTTGTATAAAGGACCAATAATGCCATCCAATGGATAAAATCTCTGTCCAGAGGATAAGTGATAGCAGAACATGCTGCAGTATCCACTGGATTAAGATTTAACCACTGGATAGCATTCTCTAACTTTCAAACAACTGGGACAAGAGAATTTGTAGTTCAATCAGGCAATATTATGTAATTGATAAATTTTTTCACCTCTCATTACCTTGGCTGGGTGCAATTATTATCTGTTAGAATAAGAATAGCAGGTCAAATCACTTTGTTTCCATTTTTTTTCTTTGCAGGATATCTCTGTTCTGATCTATTACAAATCACTTTGTTTCCATTTTTTTTCTTTGCAGAATATCTCTGTTCTGATCTATTACAAAGGGAGGATCTTCCACTCTCATGCAAAGAGAATGAAGATCCTGCTAAAACCCTTTCAAAAGCAACAAAAAATGTCTCTGTTCTTCAACCAAGTGCATCTGAGAAAAATAAAAAGGATGCAAAAGCCAAGCCAAAGGAGGATCAGTGCGATGGTGATGATGATTATGATGATGTTTTCATACAATATCTGCCTCAGAATGAAGATCAAGGCAGTGAACCTGGGCAAAACCTTCCTCAAACAGACACCACTGCACAGTTAAAAGGTTCAGTGTAGTATTTTAAGCATTTGAAGTATAAGTTTGCTGTAAATATTGTGAGGTAAAACATGCTTTAATAGGCAGAGATAATTTCAAACTGACTCTTTTTGCTTTGGGTGCATCTGAGTCATTTGAAGTTACTGCATGTTACAAGAAATTGTTTCCCAAACCCTTCAGACACTCAGTTAAGTTGTTAGTTAAGATTCCTAGATTTTTCCCTATAGTTGAATTAACTGAGGCACATTACCCCTAGATGTAACTTGCTATATAGACCTTGAATTTTCACAGCAGAGGGTAATATGGTACTGTAATAATAAGAGTTAGTGCCCTTGTTCCAATAAGTGCGCCCAAGGTATCATGAGTAAATAAGCACCCAAGGGACTAAATTGAATCATTATATACAGTACATATATGTGTAGTTACAAAATCTTTTTTTACCTACCAGAGTGCAGTAGTTTTAGTGCTGATCCTGATGCTACACTTGATAATGAAGAAGAAGAAGAAGCTCCCCAAGATGGCTTACTGTCTGGAAAGTTTTTCACAGTGGCTGGTTTTTCTAGTGAACATCTGACACACCTCTGGCAGCTTCTAGAGAGCAATGGAGGAAAGGCCGTGTCTGGTGGACAAACAGCTGACTATGCAGTGTTACCAATGAACAAAGTTCCTGAAGAAGATTTACAAGCAAAACAGCTAGTTAGTAACTTAATGTTTGCATAACAGAGTGTGAACTTTTACATAGGTAGATGTTACTTATTATATGCTGTAGATGTCTTGTGTGTCAAGTTTTACAGTCAGTCTGTTTTAATTTCATTATGTGTACACATTGTAAAGTTTTGAAGTTTTTCATTATGTAAATTATTCTTAGAGATGACCCACTGGAAGAATATATAGTTTTGTACTTGTACTCACAGTATAAAATTTTAATGTGTTTTTCTGTGGAAGAAATCAATAATTTACAGTTCATAAATTGTGGGAGACTCAGTGGCTAAATAGTGGATGGCTAGGTGACTCTGCTATATTCTTCGAAAACACACTAACTTCTTAAATCTTCAATACCGCCCAAAAGTTTTAGTGGGTCTCATCAAATTGTCTTTGAATCCTGGAAAAAATGTCAGAGGGGTTTGCCCCATGCGACAGAAGTAGCAAATAAGCCAGAGAATTCTTGTTAGAGAATTTTGATATTTCATGCCTTGTAAACATCCACCTCTTACAATCCATTAAAGAGTATAATAATTATCACTTACTGGTCTCAGTGACCAGAAAGCAAATCTCCTTTCTGATCCATTGTCAAAGTAGAAAGTGTCATTATTTTATTTTTTTTAATCATATGCTCTTAAAGTTATAGAAAGGCACAATCATCAAACTAAAGAGATTTTTTAATCAGAAAAACAAATATCACAAGATGCTTGCAGTTGAAATGAGGTTTTAAATTTCTTACAGGTTACATTTTGCTGGTTGGAGCAGAGCTTAGCATGTGACCATCTTTTGGCCCCAGAGGATGGCTTTCTCTTTAAGCCATTTAGTATCCCAGAGGCCAGAAAACCACTCAGTGGATGTGTTTTAACAATCAGTCAATTTACAGGCGTAGAAAGAGACCACATATATCAACTAGCAGAACTTCTAGGTAACTCTAGCCAAACATGATTTCATTTTTATCAATTAGACACTATCAACTAGATAAATCTCTCTCCAGTGAGTAGCACAGTGCAATTTGTTAACACTTTTCTACTGGATAGCGATTTATCCTCCCTTTGCACAATTGGGCACGAGAAAAGGGTGTACAGTTCTCAGCAATGACTGAACTCCTCATTAATGATATGCCAAGTTTGTTCATGGTTCTCACTGTTTTTCCATCAGTCAAAACCTCTTAGTTTGCTAGTGAATCAAGACCAGTGTTGTTTTTTGTTTCTCTCACACTTTTCATGTTAAGAGAGAAAAGTACGTAACAAAAAAGTATTTTTAAAAAGTACTTAGCTTTTTTACATGACTGCTATTCTCAATTGAAATACATCTACTTCTGGCCCTGGTTAATCGAAGGGTGGAGTATGTTATCCACTGTATAAATTTCTATTTGGTGGATAGTGCTGTACAATTTGTTGACATCAGTCTGCTGGATAACTATTTATCCATTAGATAGTGTTATCCATCCTTTGGAAAACTGTGCCCAGTTATATTATTAGTTTGTTTTCAATGAGAACATTTTTTCTTTTGCTCATCAGGTGCTCATTGCCAGGAATACTTTGTTCGTAAAGCAAGTGGGAACTTCAAGGCCAGCACACACCTCTTGTGCCAAGATCCTGATGGAAACAAATACAAGGCAGCTATGAAATGGAATATCCCTGTAGTAAGCAGGGATTGGCTCTTTGCCTGTGCTGCAGGTGGCACCCTGGTTCCCACTAATGAGTATCCTGTAGGCAGTGACAAAAAAGTTGTAGTGGATGCCAATGTTTGCCCATCAGAGGAACTGAGAGTGGGCAAGGCAGATGCTAAAGACACTTCTCAAGACCACATTTTAAAATCTGAAGAGGGTGAACTTCCAATTGAAACAAACAATGAAGTATCTGCCCTCCATGTGCAAAATGTTAACAATGGAGGTGGCGATCAAGGAAGTACAGAAAAGCAACCTGTGAAGAGGCCATCTATGTACTTCCGTCCATTCAGACCATCATTTGACTTGGCTGATGTGATGGAAGAGCTGGCTTCACCTGTTTGTTCAAGTCTAAGAGGCAGAAAGAGTCGGGGCAGTAGAAACAGCTTTCCACTGGGTGATTTCTTTGCAGAGAACATCAAACAGACTCTTAAAAAACTGGGCACTGTTGCTCCACGCACAAGGAAAGGTGATGAGGAGAATGATGATGATGAAACTTTTGATGACATCCAACAAGAAAGAGAGGTTTGTTTTTTAAATATGAAGAGGCTGTTGATGCATAGTACAGGTCTCATTTGTGTCAAGTAGACTTTATACAAAGTCTCAACCAGTCTCTTTTTGTACATGTCTCATTTGTGTCAAATTGCTCCTTAAAAGTTCATGGTAGACTTCATAATTTTTAGTAATCAATTAATAAAAATAATAATTAATAATTAATAATCTTTATTTAATGTGGGTAGAAACACTTAGCTGAAAAGCTAGTTTACAGGTTTTCCACCAAACAACTGAAACAAATAATTCAAATTGAAAATAACATTATTAAGAATCCCAACTGGCCGAAGGCAAACTAGTTGGCTATTTACAAGCATGGCCAAGGATTTGAACTCAAAGCTACCATGAAACAAATCCAGGTAGTGGTCAGGGCAGGACTCGAACCAGGGAGTGGCGGATTGCGAGTCTGACACACTGACCACTCGGCCACACTGCCTTCCACAAAATACAAAATCTTAATCTTGCAATACCACCACAAGTCACTTTTTAGTATCATGGTATTTCTTGCTAACAAAGCATTATAATGATGATAATAATAATTATTGATATTGTAAGTCATATTATTATTATTATTATTGTTTTATTTATTATTATTATTATTATTAATATTATTAGTTGCTTTCACGATTTTTATATGTCGGTCGTTTTTGTTATCAAAGTTAGTTTGGGTCTGATACAAGTCTGATCCTAGAGAACCGAATTTAATAGATGTATTCCCTATCAACTAATTTGGAAATGTAGGAGATGAAAAACCATTACCCACGCGAAGTTATTGTAATGTTTTTAAGTTTTGAAAATATTATTATTATTATTATTATTATTATTATTATTATTTTGTCTGCTTTTTAAACTTGCAGAGTTCACATTACGTTTGTCTGTTATTGGATAACAATAAAACTTTCTGTCCTTTAAAAAAATTATTATTATTATTATTATTATCATTTTTATTTTAATTATCATCATTATCATTATCATGATCACGTAATAGTGGAATATTACCATGACTTGAGAAAACTGTTGTCATATCAAGAGCCAAGTTACTCTGTCTTTTCACTATTAACTAATATTGGTTTACTAAGCGGATTTGACATAAATTTGTGCTTTTAATGGACAGGAAAATGGAGAACCTCATCAACAAGGTATCCTAGTTGGTGTCATTTTATCTGTGAGTAAAAAATTGGCTCAGCAACAAACAGAAATCTTCAACTTAGCATCTTCTCTCGGAGCTGATTATCGCAGGCTTTACGACGGATCATGCACGCACCTTATTCACCAGGTTAGAGAGCAACTATCAAAGTAGTATTCAGAGGTTTAGGTAGCACAAGCAGCTTGCATACTCCTGAGATTCGTTATTCTGCAAGCAGGTTAATAAAGACGGTAAGTTTCTAAAAAAAAAAAACTGTGGTGCTGCGTCGGTGGGGGTTTTACAAGATAATTTTGTTTTCTCATTAACTGAAAAGACTAAAAGACTTGTTATTCTGATGTCAGCAGGGTCCATCCAATGACAAAAGTAAGGAATATGCACAGGCAAAGGCTCGAGGCATTCACATAGTGTCTCCTCATTGGTTGTATAGTTGTCAAGAAAAAAATGAGCGAGTTGACGAGACCATGTATCCACACACCTTTAATCCGAAGTTAAGTCTGTCAGTGGTAACAACGGGAAGACGAATGACAAGATCGTCTCAAGCTGTAAGTACATGAATTGTTGTGTACAAGCCATGTGCAGTTTAAGCTCCAACAGCAATTGTCGATTATGTTTTCAAGCCTTTTTCGATGGACTGTCGTAAAACCAAAACCAAAGTAAACACAGCAGCTAATCTGAACGAAAACTTAAAGGAAAAACAATCAAACTGCCTTGAGATTACCGTGCACCTTCAGGGGTGTCTCACGTGCAAGCGATGTAGCGCGTCCGGTTTAAACTGTAGATATCTAAACCCCTATATCAAATTAAAGCTTATAGGACTGACTATCAGACTATGCCAAAAATTTTGAAAAAAAAAAATTAATTGTCGAATTTTTCACGACTTCTTAATGCGAGCCACCGACCGAATCACCTTTTAAGAGCTCTAAGTGAAACCCATGAAAAACCCACTGTGCGTTAGCCCTAGTAAAGGGTAACAGGGCACCACGAGAGGTAAAGAAAAAATTCTTACGACATCGGTGGGAATCAAACCCATGACCAGGAGTTTTGCATTTGATTGCCTGAGAGATTTGTGCGAGTTTTCTGGACCAATCACAGAGTGAAGTAAAGAAAAACCAGTGCAATCCCGTATTATTTTCGAGAGTCAATTGAAAATTCCTCTAAAAGCTTGGGATTGCTAACGCACTGGTCAAACGTCTGCGCATATCGAGTCATAGGTGGCTGTCAGAATCACGTTGCCTCACGGGGGTTATAAACAACCGCACAAGCTAGTAAGTCACGATGTTTCCGTCGAAGTTTTTCAATGAAACTTAAAAAAAAAATGGCAAATTGACAGGAAACCCATAACCTGAATAAGCTATGGGTTCGAGAAGTCTAAGTTTCCCTTTCCCCGACCATTTGTTTCCATGTACAGATATCTGAAAACGTTTCAATTTCTTCGCACATTTTTCGTCGCATTATTTGTTTCTTATGTTTTCTTTTTAGATTTTGTGCGCGAAAAATTGGTGCGCGGCCAGTCTGGCTGGCTGGCCGCACGCCAATTTCCCGCGCAAAATTTCAATGGGAACCTCGAATTATTAATTATTAGAGGCAGTAATACACGGAAGAGTAACAAAGATGGCCACGGATGGGAAACATTTAAACTGGCTGCAATGATGACTCGAATAATTGAGGGGAAATTTTGTAAGATAAAGCAGCTGTTAAGCATGATGCCTCCTTGAAAGCTTTCTCTTAGATTTCCCTAACAATATGAAATGAATATCGATCACTTTGCTCGTATGTCAACTTGCCGAAAGCATTAGTCAACTCACTGACATTTTCTTTTTTTCTTTAACGTCCTCGGTCATCTCGCGGATATCTTAACTTTTCCAAGTTTCTTTACTTGGTATGCTATATGTGATGATTCAAAGGGCCTTCAGGGCCATTTCATACCATTTTAAAAAGCAATCATTGTACAAATGACTTTGATTGTGAGCTTCATCTAGTAGCGTGGAATCGCTCTCAAGTTTGAAAATTTACAAAGACCAAAGGATCTTTCAACACTTCTTGATGTGACTTTTAAAGCCATTTGACCCTGTAAAGTCAGTTAACATTGTTAAGTCAGTTAACATTGTTAAGTCATAAGGCGCTGTTAAGTCAACGACTTCGGTGGCATATGACATTCGGCGAGTTGACTTACGGTTTCAGAAAGTTGTTTTTCGGTAGGTTGACATGTCGGCGAAGTGACAGCTTGAGTTATACTAGTGAATGGTATTCTTCTGAATGCCTTGAGAGGATGCTTGAAACTTTTTTCATTGTCTCGCTACAGGCAACAACAGAACAAGAGATGTCACCACAAAAGAAACGAAAGTCACTCTCAGTGAAAGTGAATGAGTCGAGTGAAACTAAAAAACTTAGCAAGATGGGGAGCGTGCCTGAGGAGTTAGCGGGGGAGGAAAAGGCTGAGGAAGGCGATATTGCAGAAGAGGTACAACAAGATCCTCAAATGGGACCAGCTACACTGGAGTCTCTAGAGGCCAGAGAAGATTTTAAACGTCAACTAGAAGCAATAATGGATGCTACCAAGGTAAAGAATGTGTAGGCTAGTGTAATTTTCAATTCAGTGATAAGAAAGTAATCCAGAGTTGGATTGGGTTTGGTCAACTAAGTCAGATGATTGGTCCAGGAAACTCGTACCTTCGTCTCGACGTATCAGATGTAAAACCAAACGTGACTAGTCTGTCGCTTGTGTTTTCTTCCGGCGCGATTAAGAACCCTCCGCAACTTGTGTACTCTCTCCTTAGAATTCTTGAAATTTAACAGGTAAAAGGATTGCTCTACCGGTGAAAGTGTTTCGTGATTAAATATTTCTTGTCGTGATTAAAACAATGGCGAAGACTATTAGGTTTTGTTATTTCTTTGATTTTTGAGCTCCAAAGTTACCAAAGATAACTTTGTTCTCTTTCTGGTGGCTGTTTGTTTCTAAAAGTCAGCTAAAAGTTGCTTTGCGTTCTCTGCATTAATCGTGATAATACTTCTGAGTTGCTCTCTAAAAACACGCGTGTTTTCTTTTGCGCATTTCGTTAAAATTCCGTCGTGTAGTCCCAGCAGTGTTTTCCAGTTAAAGCTACAAGCTTTCTTGACATTGTCCGCATTAACCAACGTTTTTCTTAATGGTTCGGCGAAATTGAAGATAATTTTTCTAAATAAAGGTAAGAGTGTGTACAGCTGTTTCTTGTCCACAGGTTCTATAGCAAATAAGTGTTTCGTGAAATCTGGAAACACTCAATCAGAAACACCTTGTGTACAAAATCACGGGTTTATTTGACTTTAAGTGAAACAAATTGAAGCCTCACTTTCGATGTACTTTTTATTTAACTCGAGACCTTTAGTATCTAACATTTACGATCGTTGCGGCTTCTTTTCATCTCAAGATTTTAGCAAGGGGATAAATGGTTTAAGTTTCTACAAGTGAGGTTAAAACGATTCAGTTTCCTGTTGATAACAGGCAGCTTGAACGATTTCATCGGTTATCATTCGTCGTGATAGCTTCATAGTTCATCAATCGAGAAAAGTTGTTCATTTTCAGGGTTCTGTATTCGGCATTTTTTTTTATAACTGCATTGGCACCTTCACGGTGACAGTTTGATCGCCAGTGCTATACAAATAACGAGAAGGTTAAAAGAAGGAGATGACACTGAACAAAATTGACTCGAGTTTTCATAGTGTTTTTGTTCACCTCTTTAGCATTGTTCTCTTTTGCAGCATAAAGTAGTTTGTTAGTTTGCGCAAATTTCTAGGGCGAATGAGCGAAATTTACTGCAAATCATCATTGAAAAAGTCTTCCCACGCATAAGCAACTTCATTCTCGCTTTTACCCCACGATTCGTCGCTGTCGGAGGCACAGTACGCCTGGTCTGCCTCTATTTCTCGAAGATCTTCAAGGACTTCTTTCTCCTCTTCTCGCAGCATATGTTCAATCTGGCAAAAGTTGAAATGAAAAGATGCGTCAGATTAAACTTCAGATTATTTAATTGTTAAGGTAAACGAAAACAAGTGGATCGTTAAGGCGAGAGGAGGCGGGAATTTTTGTCAACGCACATCCCGCACAAAATCACGAAAGAGCGATACTCACGTTCTCTCTGACTTTCCTCGCACGCTCCTCCCTGAGGTTCTTCTGGGTGTATCGCTGATAGTTTTGCTCGGCCTTTCTATCTTTAGATTTCTTCATTTTCCGCCCAATAGCGGACTGCAGGTCTTCTCTGGCAGCAACCTGAGCAGTAGCGATCTTGTTTCTCTTTCGTGAGGCTTTAATCCCGGATTGCTTTTTTATCGCTATCATTTCATTTCTGTTTCTGTCAGCGGCAGCCTGCTTGACAGCAATTTTCTTAGCAGTAGCTTTGGAGACCGCCTCTGCTGGGTGCGGTTTGAGACTTCCCGCCCTACTGCTGGCCCGGGTACGTATGTTCTCAAGCTCCCTTAGTTTTCGCTCCTCTGCTGCCAGAAGTTTGGCGTTAATCTGCTTCCTCGATGGCTTCGGCTGTCGTTCCAACTTGTTCAGGCGCCGAAGCACCCGAGCAGTCGGGCGGACAGTTGGTCTGTACCCGTCTAGGACTTCAAATGCAATGGCGTTCGGGGTTTCACCCATAAACACAGATCGTGTAGAACTTGCATGCTGATAGGCGATGGTACCTGAACCTAAAGGCGTGCTATCCATTTGAGCTTCCAAGATTTCTTTTGCGCTCTGCATCGCCCGCGTCGCCGGGTCATTTGAGATTGTGGATCTTTGGGTTGACAAAATAGCTTTTGCACTATCTAACGCTCTTCTCTCGGCATCTTCTTGTTTTTCAGACAAATCTTCTGAAACGCTACCTGTTTCTCTATCCAAGGAGCTTCTTATCTCAGATTCTCCTTGAAAGTTTTCCTTCTTTGCCACATTTGGGTTGTTTTCTGGGCTGCGTGTCGTCTCTTCCGCCCACTTTGTTTTACTCCCGACTGGATTTGGCTCTTCAAAATCCGCCTCGCTCTTTGGAGCTACTTTGTTACCGGATTTTGAAAACTTAGATAAGAGAGATCCGCACATGTTGTACGAAAAAAAAAGCCCGGAAATCGCTAAAACTCCTTACTCTTAAAAAGTCTGCACAGCGAAGCTTTTAACAAGGTTACTTGTTTGAACGAACTGTTTGAGTTGTCGTAGTAACAGTGTTGACGTTATAAATGGATCTGTTGTGACAAAGATTCTGCACGCGCAGTGGAATATTCGTGCTTTCACTTTGGTGCTTTCGACTCCGTGCGTTTAAGTTGATGATTTTAGAACTTCGAGTGAAAGAAAATTGATCGAACAACGTTATTTAAAAATTTTCTGCGTCAAAACATGAAGCAGCAGCCTCTCTTGAAAACCTCACCTTTAGTCTTATTTAATTCATAAGCTCGCGCAAGGACACATCCGTTAGATAATCAAAGCGCGCGCTATCTCACGGGGCCCCCTCTCTTTACAGGCAAGTATCTTAAGTTTCCTCAGTTTACTCTTTTTTTCTCAACCACCTTTCACATGTGATAACTATTTCAAGCATTTCTAGCATTACTCTATTTTATTTACAGCCTTTCTGTTACCTAATTTTACAATAATATATCTTACGTAGAGCTGTTCTGAAAGAATGAAGATAGTTATTTATATAATCCACTTCTTTCTTGATGACTCCCGGCTTCAATTTCAGGAATTTCGTTAGTCACGAATTATGGTTATCATGGCGCGCCAAACGTTGCCGCTTGAAACGTTACCCCCCTACGAGAGTCACTTCCAACTGTTTTCAATGTGTGTTCGCTCTGTGTTACCATCAGTCCTTGTTGCGGATGTGGAGTTACACATTCATATCAACTATTTCAGTAGCATGTGGTCTAAAGTATGTCACTAACGAGTTCTTTTTAGCTCTGTTGCTTAAACAATTGACTAAGAAATCTTAACTGACTTGGAACTGGGACTCTTCTCGTTCCATGCTCGTGACAAATACTCAGTTAACTCCTTACTAAGCTATCATGGTCTCCTATGTCTTTTGTTGTGAACAGGGAAAAGGGAGACGAAGAAGCCGGCGTCATACGTCATCCAGCAACTCGATCAGCGTTTCCCACAATTCAACAGGAAATGTAACATCTGAGATGTCATTGGCTACGAGACGTACGTCATCAAGGGTTCGGTCACGTGTCGGTGCTAAGGTAAGTTGCCTGGCCTCGATTTTGTACCTTATTGTACTTCCTTCCTGAGTCGTTTATGGCATGGGTAGATGCTTTACCAATGCATATATGGGTATATATATGCATATATATGGGTACCGGCGAACTATTAGGGAAGCCTGATGAAATGCTGGGGGGGGGGGTAACCTTGCGATGGACAGGTATCCCATTCCGGGGGAAGTAGTAATACTTGCAGTCGCTTCATGCTGTGGGAACCGAGATAAGCTCCGACTTAATGGACGCTTGGCTCGAGTACAGACTTTACCTTATACCAATCTTTATCTGGCAGATTACTACTGTACCAGCGGTACCTTGACACGCAAGAGAGAGGGATAAACTTCCTTATCGATCAAAAAATAAAATAAATGAATAAATCCTGAACGATTAGTTAACCAAGAGGATCAAGGAGTTATGGATTGACCAGCGAAGCAGGACAGTTACTTGGATCGGTTTTATATTAACTTTAGACTTCTATAGGTGGATTTCAATCCGTTTCCTAGATTTGTCTCGGAACTACTTGCTTTTCGTCCGTTTTGAGCATGAAAGCATTAACCCCCCTCCCCCTCTCCCTCTTATTTTATAAAATGATTCAATCATTAATCAAGTTACGCTTTAAAATCCGCTATCAAGTTTCAATCTTCACTGTCTCTAGGCTAATGAAGGTGATAACAGCAATTCGTCCTCACGGGTCAAATCCCGTTTGTCAGCAACCGATGACAGTGAACACTCGCAAAGTGATACTATCACCTATGATGATCCCGCAGGACGGATGGAGCGTGAGAAGATTATGGCGCAGCTCAAGAGGGGCTGTAGCCCCAGCCCTGATACCCACACGGAGGACGAGGAGGACGACAGACCGTGCAACAATACAAACACGGTAAGACCGATGCGCATTGTAGCGCATAACGGCATGACAGCCAATCAGAAGAAAGGTGAATACCCCAGGGAGCAAATGACAACTCAAAGTAATGAATGAACGCGAGTCAACAAGGCGCAGCGACTTGTTAGAGTGTTGCAATCGATATCATGCGTCACTGAGCCTGTTTGAGCAATTTTCATATGAGTGTCGTGCGTAATCCGAGACTGCGGTGGTTTTACTTAACCCCGCTCTGTGATTAATTTAGAAACCTCGCGCCATCCTTTCAACTGCTCGTTTCGAAATTGAAACCAACTATGACTTTGTCACCCGTGTAATCCCGGGCTTCAGGTAAATTGCTTGTTTTTGCTTTGATTTCTCATTTGTTCTTTATGACCTTTACCTTTGTTTGGTTTTTGTTTTACGGGACTCAATCAAAATGTGTTCTAAAACAAAACGACATCTATCTGACATTATTATCGACACTCTCGTGAAACTTGTCAAAGGGAAAGGCAGCTGTCAGCTGTGTTCTTTCTGCCCTTTCTTGTCTTTTGGTGCTTTGCATTCTAATTTGACACACGACATCAACATTGTCAAAACTAAGAGTTCAATCATACAAAGCGGCGCTTTTTATCATCTTTCCTATAGGACGCACAAACGCTTGCCTCAAAGGAATCTACAGTCACGGGAGTCACGCACACCGACGCTAACGACACAGCTGAACGTCACGTAAGAGAACTGAACGTGACAGTTAAGTCCGACCCTCCTACACCTGTCACCAGTTCCACTCCAGCAGCTCCGCCAATCGGCCTGCAAATTAAAGACACTCACAAACCCCAGCCTGTGAATCTTCTAGACACTACGGCACTTGATCAAACACAACCCCGAGCTCTGACCACGCCTAAGTTCCAGCTGTCGGTTATGACACCTCAGGAGAAGATAGATTACTCAGCACTTATTGAGCAGCTTGGAGGACAAGTGTTTGACACGGTTTATTTTAATCCCGAGTGCACGCACGTGGTGGTTGGTAAACCAAACAGGTGAGTTACAGAACTGACATCTTATCGTGATCCCTTTAACGGTGACCGTAATCAAAAGAAATAGATCGAGAGACAGAGAGATAGAGAGGGAGGTGATGAATCTAGCCGCATGATGCTAGTTCGCAGTAAGCAATTTTTTGCATAGATACTTCTGTTTCCCTTTCATGCAGACCAGTAGAACTCCTGGGTGTCTTAGTTTAAGTCTGTTGGTTTCATTTTCCTCAACTGGTATTTTTTTTCTCTTGTCTTGAAAGAATGGTGTAAAACATTTGATGTTCCATCTTTTAGCTTTAGAAAGGGTGCTGTGCGGAAACCTCATGTATTCGTTCCAGATTGCGAGATTAGCTGATGATGAATGAATGAATGAATGAATGAATGAATGAATGAATGAATGAATGAATGAATGAATGAATGAATGAATGAATGAATGAATGACTGACTGACTGACTGACTGACTGACTGAATGAATGAATGAATGAATGAATGAATGAATGAATGAATGAATGAATTCCTTATTTATATTGCGCCTTTTCTATATAACATTCAAAGGCGCAGTATCTCCCATCAATTTGATAGACACTACACAAAGATAGACCACAGCACCGGGGCACTACGTGCCCTACTCTTTTCGAACAGTGTGTGGGTTCTTTAACGTCCCACAAATTTTATTATCACAGACAAAGGCTTGTGAGACGGGACCTCCATTTATCGTCCCTATCCGAGAAGACTAGAAAGTTTAACCATTTGCAGATATTATTACAAAGGCAGCACTTTCTTCTCAGTTATTTAAAGACCCTGAGTGTTGGTCTTGCTGGATTTGAACTCACGACCTCCCGCACAACAGTCCGGCGCTCTACCAATTGAGCTAACCGGGAGGCGGTAATGAATCTAGCCGCATGATGCTTGTTCGCAGTAAGCAATTTTTAATGCAGTCGAACCAAACGTTTTCGTCATTTTGGCAATCAGTTTTGTAACTTCCGCCACGTTTATCAGTATAATCTCCTCTTAGCTAACCGCATCGAAACGGGAAATCACTTGTTGTTCTTCCTCTTCTGCTGCTTGGAGGTTACTAGTACTTGGCTAGTCACCCTCAAGCTAGCCAATTAGTTCTTGTATTAGTTGATTTTCTCTTTCACTATCTTCAGGAATGAAAAGTACCTTGCTGCAGTAGCCGCTGGGAAGTGGGTTTTGCACAAGTCGTTCTTGGAAGCCAGTCGAGAAGCTGGCTACTTTATTGACGAGTCTCCCCACGAATGGGGACAGGAAATCCCTGGAGAACCTCACAATAAACTTGCTGCTGCCCCTCGACGGTGGAGAGTCAAACTTCGCCAGGAAAGAGCGGTAAGGCAGCGTTTTTTCCCTTCGTGACAAGGCGAAAAAAGATCTTTCTTCATTTAATTACCGAGCGTAAAATTCGCAATTTTTGTTATCATATTTCTCACACGAAGCTTTTGAAATTGCTGACCCTTGCAGTTTAAGGAACGTGTCTCACATATGAACCTAGTTATGGCTTAGCTCAGCGTAGAGTCTCAATTGCTCAGTTTTGGGCGGAAGCCGAAGCGAATCGATTCACTCTGACGAATGGCTTACGCTCGAAACGTCCGCTTTAGAACCCCACTACGGTGGCCAATTTACTTGTAAAGTTCGATGAACCGCCTAATCATTTCGCTCAGATCAAAGCTACCTCTCAAATCTTCAGCTTTTCAAAAATTCGCAGAAGTTATTATTTAACTTTGTTAATTGCTGCATGTAGTTGATGATAAACAAAATAGTCCTGTAAAGGCCTTTTGTTGCTTTTGTGAAGGAGGTTTCCACAATCTGAGTAGATGCCAGTATCAAAGGTGACTTCTTTTCCGCTCAGATTGTTAAAACGTTGGCCACTACCATCGATAATGGCCGGCCTCAGTCGAAAGACCGCTCACTACGATCAATGATACTCCTCAACCGAAAACTTTTTGTTGTATAGTGAACGTTTAACTTTTACTCTCAGGCCGCTTCTGAAGCTGGTAAAAGTGCAGCGTCCTGCGGTGCATTCAATAGCTGGGTGGTTCTTCTGTGCGTGGACAAGTCACGGCAACCAGGATTTAAACGTCTGTTAGAATCCGGAGGGGCTAAGGTTTCGGGATGCAGACCACCATTCAAGAACACCAGCGACTTCACGCACGCATTTGTAGGTAAGTACTGTGAACTGGCTATTTACGCCAATTAAGTGGAAACCAGGGTTAAAAACTGTCATAAATGCCCATTTACCTCACTCTAAACGGTTACTGTTATCGCTTATTGATAAAAATGTACCTGATTTGGTAGCCACAGTTGGCTAAATAGGCCGAAATGATAAAAGAAAAAATGAATAAAGTGATAAGTGGAAAAGTGAAAAGGAAAAAAAAAAAAAAACACATCAATTTCATAGTCTTGTTAATACCGGCATCTTAATATGTGCCTTAACAAATCCAATGACGGTGTTGCCGTCATTGAATTTGTAAAGGCACTTTAAATTTGTTTGTTTAGTACATACAGATTCTGATTGTTGTTGATCTTTCCAAATTCCCAATCGCTCGTCCGAACCAAGTTTTTCTAAGTCACAGCTCAAATCTTGGGCAAAGACCAGACCTTGTGACTCGTTTCCAGTCCTTAGTTCAGAATCGTAATACGCTGGGCTATGGATTAAAAGGTCCGAGATCGACTTCTTTTCGGGTCACTGTACTTGTTACCCAACTGACAAACTTTCGGAGGGTAACGTTCGAAACGTCAGCTTGTATAATCGTAAAGGTGGCCAATTTACCATTTTCAACTTTGTTGATATATTCAAATTATTTCGTTACCCCCACCGACGCAGCCCCAAACAGTTTCTTTAGAAACTATCAGCCTTTATTCCGGAGGGTAACACTGATAAAATGTTATCCTGCCTCAGGAAAATAGCAATACTCCTGATCACTTCATGTTACTAAAACCGGGGTAAGCGTTGGTAAGGAGGGCCCTCTGACTCTAAATCACTTGTCAGCCACTTTTGAGGCCCCTCTATGTGTGACATTTTATTAACGTATTTGCAAGACGGTGGAAAACACTCGTCGCCGTGTTTATTCATTTAGCATTTTCTATTGTTGTTTCAATTTAGACTTAGCTAAAACGAAAGTGGATTCTTCTGACTTGAACACTCTTCAAAGGGATAATGTTTGGTGTTTGAAGCCAGATTACATCGCCGAGTATCTAATGCAGGAGCCACCACCTCCCCCTCAGAAATACTTACTCTCAGAACTTGGAACGCCTGGTGAACAGGACAGATCGATTCCTGGGCAGACAAGGAAGAGGAAAGGGGAGGATCTTACTGGCGGCGATAAAAGAGTTCGTGTTTAATTTTTAAAGGATCAGAAATTGTAATGCGCCCTCTTGACCTTGTTTTGAAAGCAATAGTACTACCATGGTTTGGAGTAAAAGACAGTACATATTTCTCCCATCTTTTGGAAGAAACTTACATACTAAATTTGGCACAAGGGGAATTTTTACCTTTTTACCCTGCGGGTGACCAGCTTCTAATTTCTTCTTACAGTCATATTGCTGTGCCATTCATTAAGGTCGTGAGAATAAAAGAAATAAGCGCCAATCTAAGAAGCTTTGATTGTTAAACAAATTCTTCTTGTCAGCACCAAAGGAAATGTTTAGAGAAAAGTATGGAGAATATACATACTGATGTTAAGGTGAAAAGGTCCTTAGGAATTGTATAGAGAACAGTATGGAGAATATGCATACTGATGTTAAGGTGAAAAGGTCCTTAGGAATTGTATAGAGAACAGTATGGAGAATATGCAGACTGATGTTAGGGTGAAAAGGGTTCAAAGAAGGTCTACTTTAGCAAGTTCTCCTAAGACTGAGACCTGTGTCGTTAACAGTTCTCTTTACTGGTGAATAGAGCGGTCAATTTTTCCACGTCAAGTCCACTTGCTGAAGTCATTTTTCTTAGTCTAATGGTGTCATAGACATTTCAGAGTGTTCAGAACACGATGTGAATGAAGCCTTAGCTTAGCCTAATTCCTGCTATTACAACGTTATTGTGCGTGAAATTTGCAGTACATGAAAATTTACTGATGCAAAGCTTTGCTGGTTTTTTTTTTTTCCG